AACATTTATTGTAGTCAACAATTGTGGTGGTTTCGGAGAATGTTATCAAACTATTTCTTCATTTAAAATATGGTATAAAGATACAACATTCTGGGTTGAAAACTGCAAATTATTTCAAAAAGAGAAGAAATTGCGGCAACACACCATAGTGAAATTGTTTATTAGAGAAATATGGACGTTTAGTTTACAGCCATTTCAATTTATAAAAACCCCGAGCGCGGAATTTTTTTTGTAAAGTATTAACAATAATTAGTAATAGTAATATCGGTTGTTATTTGGAAAATGTTAGGAAGCGCTACATGACTTGATATTGCTAACTTATAAATTCATTTTGTTTCGTTTATTTAAAATCACATGATTGATTTATAAATAAATCAAAGACGAGAATTGCTGAGATGCAAACGTGGATCAGCCACACGGTGCGCAATATTCAATTTTGATGACGTTATCGCACAAAAAAGTGAAAAGAAGATCCCATAGAGCCCACAGAAATATTGAAATAAATAAAACTAATGACATTCTTGTGACTACAACAATTATTAACCACTGAATATTTTTTCAAAAGTAATTGGTTCAGTGGTTAAAATGAAAAGTGAGTGTTTAACAGAACAAAAGACGAGGAATATCAACAACAACAACGTAATAACAAAACGATTCATAGGTCCACGTCCTGTTCAATAAACAAGAGAGCTATGCTCAAATATATAGACACGTAACGCCACCCAATGGCAATAATTTTGATGACGTCATTGCAAAAAAAAAAAGTAATAGCCTTCTGGAGAAAAATTTTATCTTTAACCACTGAAAATTTCAAAGCAATTGATCCAGTATTCGAAGAGAAAAGCGATTTTTAAAAATGATGGAGACAAATATTAACAATAACAACATAATATTGAAACGATCGTTATGTCCACTAAACGTGTCCAATAAACCAATGAGCAAATATATGAATACAAAGATACGTTACGGAAAATGATAACATACACCAATACATTCAAACAAGCTTGCAATTTCCATCTTCGGTAAATATGCTGAAGATAATCAGTATAATTTTTAGTAAAACAATCGCCCGAGAAGCATTATTGATAGTATTTTTTTTTTTCAACTTTATATTATGAATATTAAAAATGCTAACCCCGCAATACCACTGGGTCCACCGTTAGATAATATAAATACAGTCTTTGTTCTCGATAAAATAAATTGTGAAAATATTTTCAGTCACCTGACGAATTGAAGCGCCGGGACAAGAACCATGTCGAAAAAGTCCAACTTCTGCTCAGCGTGAGTATCACATTCATATCTAATTGTTTCTCTACACATATTAACTATAAAATCTATAAATGATAACCATTAAACTAATGATATTATCTCATGTAACTTAATCCATCTGTTCCACTAAAAACTATAAGGAAAGGAATGTATCTCTCTTATAAATTTACTGAATTTACTTGGTATTTTCTGGTTATAGCAAAGTGGGATGCGGTCAGGACTTTTGTTGTACCGTTTGAACTGTCATTTGAATTGTCGACATTCTCCGAATTATAATTATATATATTTATCTTAACGAGATGAATTTTAGACCCATAATATTGGCTGAATATCTGCTCGCCAGAGCTTCAAGAATTTTCAAAATGATGTACGATGCTAGGTTTTGAGATGAACTAAAGAAAAACATCGAACCCAGTTTAATTCTTTGTAATCACAGTCATGTTTGCAAATGCGATCACTTTGCGACGTAGACGAAACTGTCGCCTTTTCCCGTTCCCACCACGTTACTGAATATTATCCTGACTTAATTATCAAATACATTCTACAGGCCAGGTGTGCCCCCTTGCACGAACTTGCATACCAGCCCCAAGTGCGCTCACGTATTTTGCCCTTTCAAGCCCTCTTCTGCAAAATTTAAATAGTGTTGGTATGGTTTCTGCAATGCATACACTGTTGAGGTTTATCAGGACATCTTTAATCAGTACAATCGATTACAAATGCAGGTACGTATCATAGATATATTACAGGCTCGCAAATATTAGTTAGAAGCTTCTCAATTTCAACAAAATTCTTCCATTAAATAAATCTTCTAGGTCCTGAAATGTAGATTATTCGATTCAAAAGCAGTTCAATTTTACTAGAACGTCCCCCTTTATGTATATATATTCTGCTTTCTATGAAGTGCAAATAAGGTAGTGCCACCTTGCTTGTCATCTAACTCTGCTAATACGATATTGATTTGACGAGGCGTTATATTAACTTGGAATGAAAAAAAATGATAGATCCTATTGCCTGTGCTTTAAAGATAATTACACACGAAATGTACATATGGATGTTTTTTGATACGTCGTTGTTCTTGTCGGTATTTTTCTCCTCATCGCTTTTCTCTTTAACTAACTTCTAGTGACCAATTGCTTTAAAACTTTCAGTGGTTGAAGAATGCATTTTTCTCCAGAAGACTATGTTTTATTTATTTAAAAATTTCTGTGGGCTCTATGAGATTCCCTTTCATGTGTTCGAATACGTTGGGGGTTCCGCAAATTGGTCATGAGCACTGCTGTACCGGTAGCTTACTGCGACATATTGCATGTCCATACTGTTTCGATTTGAATTTCGTGTCCACATATTTTAATTCAGATACTTACATGAAAGATGCAAAGGTGGGATTTTCTGTACTAAAGTTTGCAAACACTCAAAAAATGATCAAAACAGAAAATTATGGATGGTTGTGAAAAAGAAACCAATTAAACTTGCGTATTTGAACGTCAAAGTGAAGGTAAATCATATTATTTTTAGTCTTTACGCCTAACGGAAATGTCTTAACTTCTTATTCGTTATCGAGCTCTAATAAAACTGTTATATCCATCAATGCCAAATACATGATGAATATTACAAAAAAAGTTCAAAGTTCGCTTCAGATATGGTCAAGAGCATCGAATAAATAAAGAAATTATTTTTTTTCATGATGAAATGTGGTTGTTACTTAATCGTACATGAACGACTTTAACTATTTAAAAAACGGAATGGTGGTCGTAATATGTTCAGATATTTATACTCTTTCTACATCCACAGGTTGATGTTTGCAAATGCGGGTATCTGTAAGCTAACTAGTCTTCGAAGTAACTTGTGAGATGGGTATCAGACAATTAACTAACGACTACGAATCATTTAAGCAGGGTTAAAATATATTTCAAACATGCATATACTTGGACAGGTTAGATACAGGTTCCCAATTGTATGATTCATACTTCATTTAATACTCCGACCTTCTGCTTTAGTACTACCTATTGTCTCAGAAGATAACGTATGCTTACAACAACCATTTGTTTTATAATATACATCCATATCCGAGCTCGGAGTAGTGGGACAAGGGCTGCACAGGTGCACAGGTTAGAACGGATGTGGCAAAGTGGGACAAGTATGCCATAATAAGCTACCGGGATATATAGGCAAATTATTGGAACGAAGCTTCGCGCGGTACGGAGGTCTTTAGCTTTTCCGATATCACTTACCTCAAGCGCGTCATTTAACCTAATGAATACTCTGCCAAACCATACAGGTTTGAGTCAGAAAATATCCTCTAGTGTGGCAGAGTCTGGTAGCCTAATGTTCTGTTTGGTGTGAATGTGGTACTTCGGGTAAATAAAATCTTACCCCGCACTACAACAAGAATTTTTGTTGTACGAGACTCGAGATCAACAACTATAACGCAAACTTTTACCCTAGTTACAGATATACATAAGTCTACTAACTTCAATACCGATGCACAGATAACGTTCGGTAAAAAATGAGCAGATTCTCAGATGCAATTTTTGACATGATGACAGGAACCACATACATTAAAATAACTAATACATTGGAAACATTTTTACAATGTTCCTTATTTAGTAAAGTTGGAGAAAACGTTAGAAACTTTATCCAAAAATCAAAGTATTTGTACCCCCAAGCCTTGAAGATAGGAATTAAAATTTAAATAAAATAAACAAAATTGAGGCAGCAAAAAAATTCATAAACGCATATTTTTATGATAAATATAGTAAATAATCGCTGTCTCGTATTCTAAATATTTATTTTTATTTATTTACTACAGTTCATGTAAATAAATGAAAATATTAATGAATAAATGTGAATGCCGTTTATCAAGAGTTTGCTGTCATACCAACCACCGATAAAATAAAAAATTCGTCTGTTGAATAACTGAGAACACTGAGGTCAAAGATAGCGTGATTGAAGTATCAAAGAATGAAGATTTTAAAACTATATATCTACATTTTGTGTCCCAATGGTGCAGGCATATATATACTTATGAACACTTAGCATGAAAAATCCATAAATCTAAGATTAGACTTACCTCTGTACTCAGAAAGCAATAAAGTTTAATTGGTTGATTAGTATCATTTGGGAATTGACAACGGTGGACAAGCACCGTGTCTATTTGTAAACAAATCATTGTTAATGGTAACAATGTCTCATCACCGAAGGTGTATTCGCCAGAGCGAATGATCGATAATTTCGTCAGATAGACTTTTCTCACATGCACATATCAAAGATTCATGACGCCTGTTACAGTTTTTCAAATGAGCAAATATTTATGGCACAACAGAAAGTTGGAACAGAAACTAATAAAAATGAAACAAATATAGAGGAATGACACATGCTAAGTCCAATTCCTAAATGAACAAAAAGTCGTAAAGTTGACACGAAAAATCGCCCCCCAGTAATCTTTCTGATCTTATATACAAATCCAGTATAATTCCCACTTACAGCCTATGTATATATTTCCAGAGACCTTGATTGAAAAAAATTGTCAGCACAATAACTACACAAACTAGAACACAGCGAATTCAGTTGTATTTTTGTGTTTATCCCGCCCAAAATCAATACCGCCCAAATAACGTAACCTCACAATTATCATACGTTCAACAAGTATTAAAATGAAAAAAAAAAAAACATCCGTAGTCTGCAAATGCGGATAAAAAATTTCATCAATAGACATTTCAAACATTTCTTACCTGGATACCCAATATACAAGACAGTTGGCCTTGCCCGGCAGCAATACCTGTAAAACTACCGAAAATAAAACGAAACTGCAGAAACGAGTTACTTACTACTTTCGTTACTTAGCGGTCAGGTCAGCACAGCTGTTTATAAAAGGAAAATCTTTTGACATGAAAGTAAATATGCAGTATCATTCTAGTTATTATATTACCTCATTTCGTGTTTTCTTTCGATATGTGAATCAAACGAGAGTCCTGAGGTGATACTTTGCAATTCACCACACCAGAGACCAGAACATCGCATCGCACCCCCGGCCGTTTACGAGTAGAACAGACGACTGGCTCAAAAACATCACCAAGTGGTAATGCCCTCCTCGATGTTTCCCTGACCCTCGACCCCAGAAAAATCTTTGTATACTTTACAATGATACAATTTTTTATGCTATTTTACGAGCGTTTTCGCGAGTTATCATAACTAGCTTACTGGTTCAAAATCATCATTTTGATTCAAAATGTGAAGCCGCCTGTCATTTACAAGTACTGATAGTCAAAATTTATTCTAATCCAGTGCTTCCCTACCATTACAGGAAATGACTTTGCGCCGAAAGCACAACGTGTGTAGTATTTGGGTGTGAGCTTGTCTCCAATCAAGCCTCGACTTGATCTGATAATATCCAATATGCAAGCTCAAGTTTCGCATTAATTTAATAGTAAATTGCATGTAGATACATTGTTTATTTTCTCATTTATTAAAATCTCAAATGTGGGCCGCACATACAAAAATGGCAATGCAAATGGGTCGCGAACTGAAAAAAGTTGGAACGCACTGGTCTAATCCACCACACCTTGCTGGGAGTTAATATTTGACTCAGAAAAAAAAATGACTATTGAAGTATTTGATATTTACTTACATTTTGGATGCAAACTAAAACCTGACATGTATGCATGTGTGATATTCAGCCTAAGAAATCCTAAATTTTCTGAGTGCCACTTGGTTTACCACATTGCGGTATTTTTGACAACATTTTAAATAACAATACTGATTTTTATTGTATCACAAACATGAAAACATTATGAATACACAAAAAAAATTAAAAAAAATGTTTTTCAAGTCTTCTTTATTTTTCTTTGAAATTCCAAGATGTCCCGTAACACCATCACGCGAAATATTAGAGACAAATATTAATATATTCAATAATATGTTTACATAATTGAAGCAAAGCATTTACAGTTGAGGTATGGTGTTTTCTTAAATCTGCTACACCTGTGACAGTATACAAACGAACAAAACCAATCATTAGCAATTTCTGTACATAATGTTACTATGACAGACCATTTTCTAGTTGATGACTTTGGCTTGTTCTGGAGTTATTATACTTCGGAGCATATTTGAAATAAATGAAATTTCTCCGAAAAAAATCGTGTAAAATATGCTACGATAATATATACCCTCGCCATAACTCGAGCATTGAACGATGCACATTCACCGTTAGATGTCATTTTTTTTTCTTTCAGGCCGAAGAATGCAAATGTGCCAGTCTATGATTGAATGAATAAAATAATAAATTAAACTAAAACTAAAAATTTGAACTGTCTATAGCAACTCTAACATTAATTGTCTTATTTATTTGAACTACATTTTGAAATATATGTGAACAAATGTAAAACATTCCGTGTGTTTTTACTCCTAGGATAGGCCAAGTCTGAAATAGGAGTGTATATAATTTTGTGAGTTGTAAGATTGTCGACATTGTTAAAATAATCGATTACAACTTAGAAATTACATTCAATAGAATTTTAGTCGAGGAGTCAGTTTTAGATCAAAGCAAGAGAAGTCACAACAGTCGTGTTGCTAATGCTTGATGTATGTAGGGGTCATTGTTCATCATTTGACTACATACAAAATGATAATAATATAGAAAATCGCAATCAATAATATCACAAAACGCAATGGAAGGCATTTTAAAAATAATAAAATGCAATAAAAGATGGTTTTCATACGTCGACTCTACGCATTTTTAAACAAGTTTCCATTGTAAAGATTTCAATTGAGAATTGGTTTAATGTCGCGCGTTGACTTAGTCAATTGAATCGTTAATATCAAGATTCTAAGTTTCTAACTAAGGGTTTTGTAGATTATTTAATCATGGTATATACGTCAGGGTGTCAAACTCACAGGCTTCTGGAGACCATATAGCATGTTGTGAATTATGCCGAAGGCAGCATGCATTTCTTGATCTAGTTTTATAATTTATATTTGTAGCATATATATATTGTTATGTGTAGTTTGCGACATATATTGCGACGTAAATTTATGAGCCATACGAGGTCTTTATGGCATTCACTTGCAAATTTCTTGCATTTCATTATTATTTCGAACCACTGTATTTATTTTCATCAATTGAATCATTAGGTACTCCCGTAGTATGTGTGCCAAGTTAGGGTTAGGCCATAATTTTATTCCGATTTCCGTATTTTAGTTCTATTACAAGTTCGGGGACTGTCTGTGTTAGCCCAGTGAATATCCCCCCTGCCCATAGGTTTCAGTCTCTTTACACAACTTGATGAAAAATAGGCGAACAAAATTAGTTACCTCCATATTGGTAAACATACTCCTGAAGCGCCAATTATTATGTTTAATTATCCGGAATATTTATGAACAAACTTCTGGTATAAAAAATATGCTTAAAAAATGACCTAATTTTAACACATAGACTTAAAATGAACAAAAATACAGCATAGCCCCAATTTCCTTGAATTTATCTTGACTTTTGGGACAAATTAAACGTAGTGCTTTAGAATTCTGCAATTCCCATTTATCACGGAAATGCGACTTTTTTCACACACTTTGCGTTTCTACTTGGTCACTAGAGCGCCTTCTTGAAGTTTTCTTTTTTTGGTTTGGGGTTTGTTAATAATTTGGGTCAAAGCAAAGGCAGTAACAATTTGTACATTCAAAAAAAAAAAACGTTTTGGAAATTGTCAAAATTTATTAGAGTTACTCAATTGTTCAAGACTATGATCACATGTTATAACTTATATAACAAACATTTCTGCTTTGAATAGGATGCAAAAACGCACCAACAACTACACCTTAATTAATATATATATATACATGACTTAGCTTTTTGATACATTGAATACCATGACCAAGCATGACAAATATTATTACGCTGTCAAAATTAGCGCTGAGATTGAAGTAGCCCAGTCATTTTTTGTGGCTGATAAAGATATAAACATTTTTACCTCAAAATAAACAGATTGAAACATTCATGTTGGTGCTTGCAGGGGTTGTAGTCTTTCTCTCGGCCTCCGCCTAACCTAATGTATAAATAATAATACCAAGATTGAAATTCACATGTTTGAGAAATGAGTGTATTACTTTTAGATAAAAACCTTGCAAATATGAGAATTATTGATAGATAGGTAGTTCAGCAGGCAACCCTGGGGCACGTGACTTCTATTATGACCGTTTCACTGTGTACTGTGTTCCATCGCATAATGACAATACGTTTAAATGGGTATTGTTCATCAAAACGCCTATGCTTTACTGAGTTCAATTCTACACCTTTGACACACCTCTCAATTATGACAATATTTAAAGCCACCATATACCTTAGGTTACTGAATATTGTACTGTATGAAAGCAATCCTCACAAACCAGTTTCTCGAGGCTGTCCGTTCGCGTCGAGCTACACTACACCATTACTATGAAGTATAAAGGGCCTTCGACAATCACCAGTGACTATGTACGAAATACATGAATACAAGCTGCGATGAACATATAAACTCTATATACTTACTACACTACTAACTCTACTTGTATGCCAATCAACACTATGTACAAATGAATTGAACTATATAGAATCCAGAGATAAACGAAAAATTATGAAAGCCACCCCCGAAGAGGATTGCGCGACACAGCGCCAGTACGCCCGACGCGACCTTCAGTCAGCCTCACTTTTGACTGGTGACCGTACACATTTGAACCCATGTGTATATCCGCGGGTTAAATCTATATGCGGGTGCCAAAACCCATGGGTTAGGGTTAGTATGGGTTCAAATATCCGTAAAACAAAAAAAAATTCCATAGGTGCAAAAATATGCAGTTACAAATGTCATGGGTTCATGTGTAATGGAACCCTTTTGACTATACTAGTATTGTGAACTATAGGACATTTCTTTCATTTGATGCATATTATCACTCACTCTTGTGTTGTGAACTATAGAAAATTTCCTTCATTTTGATGCATATTATCACTCTGAACAAATTATCTAAAATTTTACTCCGATATCAGAATATCGCGTTCGTATAGGTTTTATGTACACTAGCACAGGTAAGTAAGCCATCGTTTCTTCTTTTTTCAAATTTTGACCGTAGTGGGTGTTTTGAGTTCTCCGAGTTTAGGAAATATTAAACCAGTAAACAGAAAGTTTACTTGACTAAGGGCTAGAAAAATGCCTATAGGCATTGGGCCAGTTTCAACTTTTCCCCATTCTTTGATCGAAAGTCCGATCTGTTGACATCATGCTGGTGAAGTGGAGTGTAAGATAATTTATTCGGATTTTTTTTTTAAACAGTTGCCAAAATGGCGTATTGTGTAACCCCCAAATTTGCGCTTACAAGGGGTCGAATAATTTATAACAAAATTTTGTCTCAATTCAACATAACCAACAAATAATCACCGCCATATGTGTTGTTATGGGGAAAGAAATGTATACGAAATATATTATGATGAGCTGATCGGGCTGATGCCTTTTCATAACTCAACGGTCCCTTCTCTTAATTTAAAGCGCACTTCATTTGGTCTTCCTCGACCACCTTCAACACAGTTTTAGCCTCATCTGAGACTAAAGGGAATTTGAATCTCAGAATTAAATGTGACTTTTGATCTGCACCTCGTTTACCTCACCCAAATGGTAAATCGCGCGTTTCTAGCCGCAATACGATTACGACAGCCCTTATAGTTATAGCAAAAGAGCCGCATCAAGCCACGGGTTGGCCACTCCTGGGCTAGTTATACCCGTAACTCAATGGAATTAGTAACAGCTCAATGGGTTTTCTTTCTCCATATAAAGTAACAGTCGTAACTGTCCCCGCTTTCGTGAAATGAGCACATAACTATGACGAAAGAATAGATAAGCATATTAATGATATTATATCATAATAGAATACAGTGGCGGCGCGTGGTCATTTTGACAACCGGGGCAAGTTACTGCGGGACCAAGTCACCCCCATCTACGGGGACAGGATGAGCGCTGTAAGTTCTCCCATCATTTTATGAGTATAAAAACCATTCCAT